CCCGAGTGCTGGGATTAAAGGCGTGCGCCACCACCGCCCGGCTCCAAAATTGCTCTTAAACGCCCTTCAAGTCCTAACATTGAAGCTGAATTGATCACCAGCATGCCCTCTTTCAGATGTCTCCCTCCACCACTTGGGCTGGACACTGAGAGGCTCCTTGCCTTGCCCCTACTCATTTTCCGGGTCTGTTAACCCTTAAGCAGTGAAGGACTGCCCCCTGGCAACATGGAGGAGCTGCGCTCTGCAGGCACCTGGTGTCAGCTTACCCCGCAGCTGCTCAGGTCCCTGCACACACGCTCACATCTGTCTTTCCCACTCATGACAACAGTGATGCACTTGGCTCCCTCTATGCCCTGGAGCCTTCCCATGCTGTGGGTTGTTGCTGACCATTTCTCTGGCACGGTCCTGTCCACAGCCCTGAGCTCCTGCCTGGAAGATTATGGATCTCAAGCCATGCCTCCCTTTTCACTTTTCGATTCTGCTGGCAGTCTAAACCCTCATTGCTTTTTCTGCTTCCGAGTGTCTTCTGTAGTAAGTGGGACAGATATTTCAAGTTCACTCCCTTTTCATCTTGCCAGTAAAGGAGAGCTGTGCTCTTGCTATGTGGATTCCAGTTAAGAAGCAGGTGGAATTCTACCACAGCCAGCATTCAGCAGGGACTTCCACCACAGCTTGCTGGTGGCCCACATGGGAGCACCCCACCCCCACCCACACAACCCCCAGCCCACCCCTACACCTTGAGTTCCTTCAGTCTCTGTAAATATAAGGACCGCTGTGATTCATGAGTGGTAGAGGAGACCTATTTGTCTAGTGCCCACGCCCCCACAGAAGATAGACGGTGTACCTTATCCAGGTGAAAATGCGTGAGTTCTGGGTACCCCAGGATCCTGGAGGGCCACCTCCAGGCCTGCACTCCACTGCATCCCTGAGTCCGCAGTTGGCCCTGGCACTCCTTAGGCCAGATCCACACTATGAAAGCCTCCTCCAGAGAGCAACCCCTCTGAGGCAATCGGAGATGTTATGAGCACAGGTCTAGGTGCCTTTTCAGACAGACGACTGTCAATGTGGTTAGGACTTGGAATGAGAACTGGTCCTGGAAGCAGCTCGCCCATCTTAACCACAACATCAGTCCAGTGTGGTCTTAATGCACCCAGGCCACTGGAAATTGTGTATCCTAACAGAGGGCAGATTTCATCCTGACATCTTTGTCCTCACAATTTATAAGAGGGAAGATATTTTAGGAGTAAGAAGGGAAGTGACCCTGTGGGAAGCTGGACACGTCTCCACAGCAAACTCTTCAGAATGGAAAATGGCAGCAGTTGCCTTACCGCTTTTAAAGTTTGTGTTATAGCCTTTGGAGTCCCCAAAACTTGCCTGATGTCACTGTTCATTAACTTAAAACCCTACAGGGCTGAGAGGACTCGGGGGTTAGGTGCTTGCTGTACAAGCGTGAGGGCCCGAGCCCTAAAGCCCAGAATGCAGTGAGCCCCAGCTGCAGAGTGGTGTCTGCACAGCTCTCACGGGGAGGGTCACAGACAGCTGCATCACTGAGCCGGCTGGCCAGCTACTCTACCTGGAAAAGCAAGTCCCACATTCAGAGGAAGGCACCTTCTCAAATACATGGTGCACAGCAATAGACAGAAAATGCTGCCAACCTCGGTTCTCCACCTGTGCATGCACAGACACCAACACCTGCACACAGATGTGCGTGCACACACATCCCATACTCACACAGACACGATCACACTCTTAGGCCTATTTCTCTGAAGATTACAAAAGCCTTGGACTGCACCAAGTGAAGGGCAGTAAGAAGCCACTGCACACAAAACTCCCAGGGTCTGATAACAGTGCTGGTTTAAAAAACCAGTGCTGGCCTAGCATGGTAGCATGCACCTTTAATTCCACCACTTGGGAGGCAGATCTTTGTGAGTTTGAGGCCAGCTTAGTCTACATAACAAGTTCCAGGACAGCCAAGAAGGAAAAAGGGAAGGAGGGAGGGAGGAAAAGAAGCAGTGCTGGCCCTTAGTATAGTCACACAGATGTCAAGACTAAGGGAACTACCAAAAACCCCAAACCCAATGACCTTCCCAATTGTGAAAGTGGCACTGTATGGTAGCAAAGGCAATTAATAAAGATAATACCCAATCAGGCTCCAAAAGTAGCTGCAAACTGCTTAGTACTCACCTAATCCGGTTATGCTCATGTGGAAAATGCAGGTTCCACTCATGCTATAGAGCCAGCCATACAGGAAGCATGTGCTAGACTTTGATCTGCATCCACTCACTGAACCAGATGCTGCACATGTATACGGCAGACAGTCATAATGCAGGCGTGAGGCTGAAGAAGGGATCTGCCAGGAGGCAGAAGCAATGGGCTAAAACCTGCAAATACTACACAAACCTCTAGCCCAGGCCCTGGGAGAGGGAAGTCCACTGTCTACCAAAGTGTTTAAGGAAGCAAATTCCAGATCACTATTGGGAAAGACATTGAACACATGCCTTCTCACGGGTCGTCGGAGCACCGACAGGAAGCTCCGCCACAGCCACCCACTTGCATAAAGGACAAGTGCTCTGTGCACCGCACAGCCTTGCTGGGACACTGTGTAACCAAATCAACCCAATACTCCCCTGGATGGAATCAACAGTAACACGCCCTTTTTAGGACGCTCTTGATTGGCCACACACCTCTCCTTGCTCTAGTCATTCCTGGATGCAGGTTCAACATCTTAGCCAAATCTTTCTAAAAAGATGACCTGACCCCATTCCAACTTCCTGAGTCAAACACTGGGCAGGGCATGTGTGATTGATTCTACAGATTACAGACCTGCCTGCACCAGTAGGTGCTCACTAGTTTATCAAAACCACCCTTTCCCCCGGTTTGCTTCCTGCCCATGGACACCCAAAATGGGAGTGACCTCACTGTCCACTGTCTCCTTAGGCTACTTCTCTCCATCAGACCTTGGCCTTAAAGCCATTCTCTACGAAGGCTGGTGGCAGATGAGTGGCCTTCATCTCCCAAAGGCTGTTTTCAACCCTGGCCAGGCCCCAGCAGCTAGGCTGCTGCCCACTCACGACTCGGTGCCTGACACCCGACTCTGTTCCTCTCTACTGGTTTCAGCCAAGGAAGCAGGGACAACTATAGGATGATGAGTCCAAGTGTAAGATAGAAATCCAAAGGTGACAATCTTAATCGGAAAGATAATCAAATCAACTTCCTTCTTCCTCAGGGTATAAGCAGCAACACCTACTTTTAAGAGTCTTTTAGAATGCTGTGTCCTGAAGGATGCCAGTGTTTCCCTAGCTACAAGAAGGCTTGGCAAACAGCGGACACCACCATCTCCTCCCATGTTCAGAGCCCTCGTCTGTAGCAGCTTTCAGCATCCACATTGTGAGCTCGCCTTTGCCCCACCCTGAGGTGTCAACATGTGTGCTATTCAGTGTGACTCCTTTCAGAACCCAACCAGAGAGCTGGTCTACCCTGTGTGAAGTCCTCCCAGCAGGGTGGAGAGGGGGTGCAGGAGAGAACCTGGGGAAGAAGCAGCAGCTACACAGGTCTACACTGGAAAAATCTAGGCCAAAGGGTCAGTCTTCTCAATGCTGCGACCCTTTAATAATAACTTTCATCGCTACTTCATTTTTAAGTGTAATTTTGCTACCGGTATCAATCATAATATAAATATGGGCTAGGCAGCATATATGCAATCCCTGAGAAAGGGTCTGATCTAGGCAATTCCTTTGTGCTTGCATTAGTGTCTAGTGGGAGAGAGCTTTGTCTCACGATCAAGACAAGCATATTTCTGAAAGTGACAAAGTGCTTGCGCCCAGCCAGTGTTAACGCTGCTACAAGCCCAGTCCTGATGTGGGCAGCTTGGTTCCTTACCTTTTCCTGCTGACGGCAGCTGGGACCTAGGACCTGAAGGCAATGTACGAAGAGAAGCATGGACGGCCGCATGGGTCTTCACGGCTAGCGTGCACACGCTGCCAAGGACTGTGTGCACTTGGAAACAGACTCTGCTCAGTGTGGAAGATGTCTGCCCTGCAGAGACCCCAGACTCTTAAGAACTCTGGTCTCGGGACACCAAAGTCCCACACAGCTTCTATATTCTCAGTCATCTCCACACTCCTCACACAGGGCACTGCAATCTACTGTTCATGGTCAGCAGAACAAGAACAGACACAAGGCAAAGTGGGAACCTGGACAGGTAAAATAAAAGCAACCAAGGAAAAGAAAGGTGGGGACCAATTGAAAATGAAGTGTTCACTGTCTCTTCGTGTACTTCCCACTGTCAGAGCACACAGTGCATTTAGTAAGCCAGAGCAGGACAGTGGCAATGGCCCAGACGGCATTTCTGAGGTCTCAAATTACTACAGTCTCATTCAAATAAAATAAAAAATGTAGTCCTATTTATTAAGTAAAAGTAAGTCTTGGGTGTTTTAGTCCAGTATTATAAAATATGCTTGTTACCTAAGGGGTGGAGAATCCCATAGCCTAAGACAAAAAAAAATTAGGGAATTTTCTACTCTAAAACAGGAACTCTATAGCCAAAAGTTTCATGTAAGTCTCTTACCTTCTAAACGCCACCTTAACACATCCGTGTAAGCTGACTTAGAAAAGGTTGCTGCGGCATGGTGGCTCTCTGGAGTCTGCACAGGACAGTGGCCAGGCAGCACTCACAGTCTCCTAAACCCGAGCAGGCCAGGGCCTCAGGGTAACCGTGGCCCGCAAAACCCCTCTGAACACAAACAGGACCGTGGGGAAGCAGTAACTGCGCAACAATCATTCAGGTAAAAAATCCATGTTAAAGAACGACTCCTCTGTTCAGCCTCCAATTTTTACTTTTAAAGGTACGTGAAGCCCCATCTCCATGCCACAGTGTTCCCCTTACACAGGCGAGTCAATTATGCCTGCTATACCTACCAGACCTGGAACGGCTTCATTGCATAGGAAGATTTTTACTGTTTACATTTTCCCCTTAATTTTTAAAAAAGCATAGTAAAGAGTCTGAGGACAAATTATTCAACTGTTTATCATACATAAGACCGCATGACTATAATACAAAGGGGGTCTTTTTTCATTTAACGTTACAATATACACAGCAAGTCCGGACTAGATCTTACAATCTGAACACAGGTATTTAACCTTTTCCATGCTGTTTATGTTTACAATGCACAGAAGTCCTGTAACCAAACTGTGTAGTAAAGCACACAAAACTGGACTGTAACATAACACAGTATGCAGAAGCACTGGATTGTGTGGTTTCCGTTATGTAAGGATCGGCTTAAAAACTGCTTTCTTTTTTGGTGCTTGCTAAAATGTGGCAACCAGCACAGGGGAGAAAAAAGACCTGAGCCACCTGGTGTGGTGTTGGGGTTTCTAAGCAGCAGGTGCCGCCACCACATCCCTTCTGACCGAGCTGCACTCGAGGTGACGCCTTTATTCACGTAAACTCTCATCGACTACCAAGTTCAAAACAATCCACAGGCTTGACATTTAATTACAAAATAAATATGGATTTCCTGATTAACAACCAAAGTATTTGTGTTTATAAAAAACAGGCTCTCCAAGTTTCCACTCACATTCACAGAGTTTCAGGCCTTTCTTCTGTCACTGCTTACAGATAAAAACCTGCTTTTGCTCAGGAAAAAAAAAATTGACCTAGTCAGCCACATGGAGTTGACCAATAAAAAGTAACGTGGTGTTCTGCTGAGCTGCTTCCAATAGGGCTGTCGGCAGGCAGAGGTAGGTCACTGCTTCTCTCCCGGGTTTCTTGCGGTCCTGAACAGGGAAATCACTCTATCTCCACTCTCCTAATCCCACTGCTTAAGAGTGTAACACCCTAAAATTGCTCAATTTAAATGGGAGCACAAATTTAGCCACTGCCAGACTGTGTTACATGAAGGCAGCATTATCTCCAAGGAGGCACCTGCTAATGCCAGCCCGCTCACTTCAGGTCACGCTCAGGCTCTGCCTGCCTCCTGCCCTACTGTGGACCTACTGGTTCAATTAAGACCTCACATTCAAGTTACAAGTAAGTTACTCAGGAGTACAAGCATCAGCTGCTGGCTCCAGTGTCTGGATCCAGTGTCTCTTTCCCTTTAGAAGCCTGAATGCATTTAGAATGTGGCAGGTGTTTACTCTATTCTGTCCAGTCCACAGACTGCTGCAGATGTCTCGGCTATGGACTCGACAACAGTTCCAGTTTTGTTTAAGCAATAGTACAGCCATAATTCCCACTGACATTGAAAATGGTCTAGTCACACCTTGTGTCAAAGTGCAGGACTGCTACATCATCGGTTACAGACATCTATGTGCTATAAAAACAGCTTTGGTACAATAAATTATCAAAAAGAAAATAAATTTTTGTAAAATTCACAGCATAATTGTGAGGCAAAAAAGCAGTCACATAAAATTCTGCATTTTAAAATGTTCAGGATGAACAGAAGACGTCTTTGTGCAGAAGAAATGGTGGCGACACCATGTGCCGAGAAAAAGCCAAAGAAAAGATAAAAAGCAGGAAGGACACAGCTGTAGCTATTTCCATCAAAGCAAACCACTACGTCTGTGGCCTTCAACCAATAGGGAGTCAGCTTTATGACACACGCAAAGTGACCTTGCAATACCTTACAATTAGTGGGTCACAAAAGTCTATTTTAAAAGAAAGGCCTCTTGAATTACCCATTCTCTGTGTTTTCAGCATTAAGGACTGTCTGCAAACGCATGTCCGCAAGTGATTGTATCTGAAATGGTAGGCTCTTCTAACTTCGAGTCCAAATCCATAAGGCCAAAGGTTATCCCAAAGACCACCACTCAGACCTCCCCAGGACTGGCCACAACTGACCCGGTGTTTGCTTCTCAGTGCACCTTGCTGAGGAGACCAGTCCTGTTCCATTCCTATCTTCCCATGGCCTCTCCAACAGGAGAGCCACAGGATCCCATGGAATTGCTGCTTTGCTCCTCGGTAGGCTCAGATAGGAGAGTCCTGATCCCCGCCACTTAGCATGCTTACTGTGCCTTCCAAACGTCAACACAATTGTTCCTCTCACACAGCTGAAGATGGTGTCTGTGTGAGCTGGAGGCCCTCTTCCTTACAGTACTGCATTTCGTGCCCAAATGTGTAGAGGACAGAAAACCCAAATCTCCCTCCCTACCCCAACCCAAAACAAAACATGGGGAAAAGGAGAAAATGTAAAAATGAAAAAAAGAAAAGAAAAAACCAAAACACCCTTATGGGGCCCTTTATGCAAATTCTGTGCAGTGCCTTTTTATTTTAAAATTAGTTGGCAAATGACCAAGACCAACATCTGAACATGAACTTTTGTTGGATAGAAAGACAAACCCACTGTGACAGGGAGATGGCAGGTTAAAGGGGACAAAAAGAGGGCACCTCGGAGCTCTCCGTGAAGACAGGTGGACATGGCTCTTAAAAACTTCACTGTCCCTTTGCAATCTTTTCAAGTTAAAAACAAAAGTCAGCTTTGCCCTCTGGTAGCGGTTCAGTGTGTCAATCTCCTTCTGATTCAAGCAGCTTTGCACTTTGTTTTTGGGAAAAAAACACCACTTCTATAAAAACACACAAGAAACAAACTCAAGTTTCAATGTAGTCACGAGCTAGCTACAGGACTCTGTTGCACACACACTCCTGTCATGGGAGACTCTTCTCTATCAGCCCCTTGCCTCATGGTCAGGTGTCCTTCAGTCATGTAATGTGCAGGGCCTGTGTTAGCAGAAAATTGGTATGTCGGATGTCCAGCTATGCCAGTCTCTTGGCGGGGATTGGAGTAGACGGTCAAGTTAACGTCCATAGCTCCATTCTGTCCAAAGTCCAAGGCGTTAGCAGCCACTGGGCGGTTCTGGTAGGCTTGGTTGCCTTGATTACCAGTAGAGGAGGAAGATGTGGAGGAAGAAGTCGTTGAGGAAGACAGGGATGTCATGGAGTGGTGACTGTGGCCAACCTCCATGGAATCCTGGGTAGAGGAGCTATTTGTTGGAGAATTGTAGACCCTTGGCCTGGTCCGGTTACCCAAGGCTTGCTGTCCATGGTGGTGGTGATGGTGATGGTGGTGGTGGTGGTGATGGGAACTGTTTCCATGGTGATGATGCAATGCATTCGGCTGAGGGGCTACATGAAAGGTTGTTTCTTGAACAGGATGAGTTTCAACAGTGACTTGTGTAGGAGCTTCAGTGCCTGACCAGCCCAGAGGAGCCGGGAACTGCTGGCGCACCTGGAAGGGAGACATTATCAAAGGGTTACTCGGCACCTGAGCATCGGCACTAAAGCGAGTGAGCTGGCAGGTGGGGGGAGTGTGGAAACTTTTAACACACTAGACAGTTCTATACCACAAAAGTCTATGTAAGTTCCAGAACAAGGAACATTTTACTGTAAAAGTGGTTATAGAAGGAGCGGTGGGCCTCCCAGCTCCTAGCCACCAGCTAGTTTTACCTGAAATAACAACACACAAACTGTATTCTTTTAAACACTGCTTGGCACATTAGCTCTAGCCTCGTACTGGCTAATTCTCACATCTACACTCATGGCCAGGCTCCTGTTTCACTATCTATGCCAGATCAGCAAGCTTCCTATAAAGAACCCAGCAGCACTCTGGGTAGGTCTGGAGAACTTCTACTTTCCTTGGAGTCCCTCCTCCTCCCAGCTTTCTTTACACAACAAAAGGATGCAGATTCACCCAGATGCTTGACAATCCCTTCCTCCTTCTGAACCCAGCAGGAAGCACCAATGAGATCCCTCACACTGGAACCCAAATCACTTAGCCTAGACTAATGCAAGGACCTCTTTACTAAATAAAATAAATCAACAAAAATCACCCCCTGCTTCCGTATTTGTCCTTCTCAGCCCACTGAGAGTAGCAAAGTTCTTTCAAAACACAATCGGCTCACTCTGTCTGAAAATCATCAGTGATTTCCTACTTCCTATCTTTCCAACCTTCCTTAAGTGCTTGGGTTCTAATCACCTGAGACCTCTTTCCCACCCGTGGCCTGGACATGCGCTTCTGGGCATCAGCTCACCGCTTTCTCCTGTCAAGAATGCTTTCATTTATAATCTTTGCATGCCAGTTCTGGAGTTCCCAGGTGTTCTGGCTAATGCTGCCCCAACCATCTGCGGCAAAGGCCACGGATTCCACCTTGTGTACTGTACTTTCCAGACTCCTTCGTGCCGGACACAGCCATCAGAACTGTGGCTGGAATGAAGGTGGACTTCAGCTGTCACTGCTCGCGAGGTGCAGGCAGGTCTGTCTGCTGGACACTGCACCGTGAACAGCTGAGCCCAGGCGAGAGCAGGGCACAAATGACGCACCCATGCTCTGAAGAGCCGCTTCAGTTACTTCAGTGCCACAGTCAAGGAAAGGGAACGCTCTATTCTCAATTTACTCGGATAGTGAATGTTTAGTCTACTCAATATGCCTCACCGAACAAGTGTTCTTCTCAGACGCATGAGCCTTGACTGGCTGAGCAGGGAGGGTCTAGTGCAGCCCTCACTAACACCATGCAGGGAATACCTCTGGGGTCCACCCCCAGACTTCCGTTTTTATGTAAACATTGGTTGTCATTTTGTGTTTTGCTGTGTCTATTTGTGTCACTAGAAGCTGTCTCGACCACCAATTTAGCACAAATTGTTAAGTATTATTCAATAAAAATTATATGGAAATCCAGCAGGAAAAACAAAACTGGTAGACAATCTCAGAGAAGAAAATGTAAGTTGAACATCCTTAATCTGGCATGAAATGCTTTACAATTAGAGCACTTCAGAATTTCAGATCAGGGACACTCAACTACTTGATACTGCACACCAACACTTTGCACTGGAAGAGCCCTGCTACCCACGGGAGGGCCAATTCCTGATGCACGCCTATCATCTCAGGCAGAGAGAAGGGACTGACAGATCCTAACAGGGTGCTCTCTGAGAAATCTGAGTGGTCAGCACAAGACTCTTGTGCTGCATCTATTATCAAATGGTTAGTTATAAAATCTTTAACCAGGGGCTGGAGAGATGGCTCAGAGGTTAAGAGCACTGACTGCTCTTCCAGAGGTCCTGAGTTCAATTCCCAGCAACCCACATGGTGGCTCACAGCCATCTGTAATGAGATCTGGCGCCCTCTTCTGGCCTGCAGGCATACATGGAGGCTGAAAACTGTACATAATAAATAAATAAATCTTTAAAAAAAAAAAAAATCTTTAACCAGGCAGTGATGGCACACACCTTTAATCCCAGCATTTGGGAGGCAGAGGCAGACAGAGCTCTGTGAGTTTCAGACCAGCCTGGTCTATAGAGTGAGTTCTGGGACAGCCAGGGGCACACAGAGAAAACATGACTTACAAAACCGAAAACAAAACAAATGAACCCCTTAAATTATAAGGTGGGAATCATTGGCACAAGCATTGTGACTGCACAAAAAGCAGTCTGATGACGAGGATGTCTCCATGACAAGTGGGCAGGTCATGTATATAGCACAGATAAAGCTGGACAAAGGACAGCAGGGTGGGAGGAGATCTCATCCTGATATTCAGAAGCATACACAATCTTATAATAATAACAATTATTATTTGTAGATTTTCTGTTAACAGTTTCAGGCCATAGCAGATGTCACCAATGAAGTCAAACTGCAGACAGACCAGGGACATCAACACACTTTTCTCATTTTTTTCTTCCCTTCTTTTTGGTTGTATGCCTATGTGCTGCTGGAGACCACATCTAAGCAGGGCATGGTGTACTCCAGGCAAATGCTCCACCATTACCTGTACTATAAGTTGGTAATGACTTTTAGCTCTCAATTTACATTTACTGCGTTGTAAAAATCTTACAGAAGATAAGCTGACAATCATGACCAAAATTACATGCTGCCTCACTGTGATTCAGCAATTTTACTTCCAACTGTTTTCAGGAATTTACAACACAGACAAAATGCACATGAACGTTTTTTTTTTTTCTTTCTTTGTATAACAGCTCTAGCTGTCCTGAAACTCACTTTGTAGACCAGGCTGGCCTCGAACGCAAAGATCCACCTCCCTCTGCCTCCTGAGTGCTGAGATTAAAGGCAGGCAGCCCCCAACCCCCAACCCATGCCACCTCCTGACACATAAAGTTGGGGGTTTTTTGGCTGTTTTTTTTGAGCAGGGTTTCTCTGTGTAACACCCCTGGCTGTCCTGGAACTCGCTTTGTAGACCAGGCTGGCCTCAAACTCACAGAGATCTGCCTGCCTCTGCCCCCAAACCCCGAGTGCTGAAATTATAGTTGTACATGGCCACCACTGCCCAGTGAAGATTTTTTATTATGCCATCATAAATAGTAAAACTGACTATAAATAAACAAAATGCCCATTAATAAGCCACGAATGAAATGGCTCATAGAATTTTCAAATAATGTAATACTGCAAAACAATATAAAATAGAAGCTTTACTTTAATATAGGAAAAAATATCAAATCTATGCAAAACGTAGAAAAATCTAGATGTAAAATTTGTGCGGTATGACACTGTTTCTATACAGGCTAGAGTGCAGGCCACACCTAGGGTAGGTGTTTCTATACAGGCTAGAGTGTAGGACATAACTAGGGTAGGTGTTTGGCGTGTATAGAATATTGTGTATGCATATAAAATACTATCTGACTAACATATTATCTGTTAATGTATCATTAGATTGACTTTTACATGAAGAAAATCTTTTTAGAGACATACAAGCTACTAACGTTAGCTTGACTAAACTAGTGGGCGTGATAAAGAGGACTGCTCACAACGCTGTGTGCTAGGTCTCTTTTTCACCATGACACTGTATCAACTATTCAAAAACTGGCCAGCAAAATGGCTCAGCAGATAATGGCATTCATCTAAAGGCACTTGCCACTCAGCCTATCTGAGAGTCTAACTGTCCAGGACCCCAGGTGGACAGAGATGACTCCCTGAAGTTGTCCTCTTACCTCTATAGCCATGCTATGATTTCTGTGTGCCCACATACATACATACATACATACATACATACATACATACATACACAAAGTAAATACACAACTAAAAAAAACCCCAAAGAAAAGAATACGTTGGGCACAGTAAAGCATGTGTGTGATTCCAACTCCTGGGAGGCAGGAGGAAGATGATATAATGCGGGAGTCAGCTGGGGCGCCAAAAGCCACCCAAAACAAACAGGGAGATGAGTAAGTAATATGAAAACAATCAAACTGTGACTTGTGTAAGATAGATGGGGACACAGAGCATGTTATTCCGGGGACTTTCTCTGTGTGTTTACAGTACAGTATGTATGAAAGACAGGAACCAAGGACAGTTAGTCCAAAACCATTTAGGGCAGCTTTTCTGAGCAAGTGGCACCGGAGAACTAAGTGCACAGTGCCATCACGAAGCCAGAGCAGGAAGAGTGGCCCAGCTGAGCACACAGACACAAGCAGAGAGGCCTGGGGATTAAGTGTGCCACATTCCACCTGTAAAAGATCTCAGTTTGAGCATTCTGAGGTCAGAGGAGAGGGGCAGAGCGCAGACACACTACTGTCGCAGCGGGCTCTACATGTTAATAACTTCCAGGTACAAGGGGAAACAAAGGCAATATAAAACAGGAGACACACATGGACTGGAGGAGGAGCTTGGGGCCGACAGACACACAGAACAGGGGAAGGGAACAGCAGCTGCACCGGTGAGCTATGGGGAATGCATGCATAGGCAAGGCTGTACAGGTGAAGACCCGGCCCAAAGCAGGAAAGTCAGGGAGAGAGGCCGAAGGCATGTACACAAAAGTAGAAAAGTTTGAAGCATTTTAGAGAACAGAAGGGAGACGGGACTCTGAGAAATGTGGAATTACCGAATAGCTGTGTGAACACGAACAGTGATAACGAAACCATGTGACAGTTTCTCCAGAAGAATCTAGCAGCCTAGTCACAAGAAAGGAAACCATCAACCTAGCAGATTCTACTTACGCCACCAAAACTAACCAACCTGTTTCTCACCACAAAAATCAAAATGTAGGCGACAGTGTGAAGGTGTATTATAAAGTCATGTGCTCTTGTCTGAACAGGAAACACCTCCACAAGCTCATGTTTGAGTATTTGGTCCCCAGCTGGCAGCAAGCGGCAGAGGTCAAAGCTCTTGCTGGAGGATGCTGCCCAGCCTCAAGTCTTACTTCCTGAATGCAGAGGGGCACCGTGATCCCCATCTTCCCTAGAGAACGGAGGCTGTCCTGTGGGCTGGGGCTGAGACGAGCCAGGCTTCCTTCACTGCTCTCATCTGTGTTCAGATCTCAGCACTGTCACCGCTGCCACCTGCCTCACACTATGACTCTAATAGTGAGTTTATGAAGATCACCAAGTTTAAGGAGCAAAACCAAGACTTCAAGGTTAAAAATCCAAGCACAGACTGATTCAGAAACCAAGTCTGGGAGTGGAGGTCACAAGAGGCCATGACAGAGACCCAGACTATGCAGCTCAGGTAGGGATCAAACTTCATGAGGCTTGGACGTTTCTGTGGCAAATAACATAATCACACAGGGGAAAGTCTAGACGAACGGTGTGTGTGCCCAATGCGAGTTCTCATTTCTAACAAGAAGGGAGTTACATGGTGTCCATGGTCAAAGCTTTCCTCTTCAGCAGTGAGGGTATTACATGCCTTTAGAGAAAGAGGACACAGACACAGAGAGCCTCAAACATCCTCACACTTGAGCTACCACAGTTAAAGCAAGCAGGGCTGTGCCATGAACACTAAGCGCTCACCTGAGGACTGTGTGTCTCACAGTCCATGGCCTGGACAGCAGCCGTGAAGTGTCCTCCGCTGTGCCGATGCTGGTGCGTTGGGTCTGACCTGGCTCTCCCGCTGTTGCTCGTTCCCGAGGATCCACCTTCAGCAGAGGACACGACAGAGATGAGTTTAGAGGAGCCCTGCCCAGGGCCATGCTCAGAGACTGCATCATCACTCACAGTGAGTGAGAGCGTGTGCTCTGCAGGCACCAGGACCCGTGCACTGACCCCAGCACCATGTAACATCCCAGTTGACTATGTCAGGAGACAGGGAACCTGGCTCACACAGCAGGCCTTTGTGTCAGTGAGACTCCTGTCTCCACGTGTGACCTTAGGTGTACGCATATGCACACTCAGATAAATGCACTGCACGGCACATATAAAGACACACGAAACATTCAAGCTATAGTACTAACTTGAACTACATCATGTTACTGAGCTCAGTAGACATCTTCCCATTTCAGCCATAATACAGCTAAGTTCACCTCAGTCATTTGCCTCAGCCACAATAAAATTCAAGAATATGGAAAAATAACTCCATTTAAAACCCATTTATAATTTTGGCTATTAAGTAGCTTTGCTTCCAACTGTCAGGTAGACAATTACCACATGATAAGGGCTGGATCTGCTACTATCTACCCAGGAGGGTGGTGTTTACAGGTGAGCAAACTCAAGAGTCACGTACTTGCAAAGAACAGGGTTAAGTAAAATAATCCTTGCCACCCATTACAAAATTTTTAAAAAATTATTTTACCAATACTCTAAAAGAACCCTACACTAGTAAGCAAACAGAAAGCACGTGCAAGCAAGCCCCGCAGTGAGATGGCAGACCTGAGCTGGACGATGTGCTGGAGGTGGTGCCTGAAGACTGAGACTGCTCCATCGCAGGGCTGGTAGACACACTGTTACTTGTGTTTGTGCCTTCATCAGCTGTTTTCTTGAAAAAACTGTGCTGCAGGGCATAATAAGGTTGAATCCGAGTTTTGGGGTCATAATCAAGCATCCTTAAAATGAGGTCTTTGAACTTCAAGTAGTCAGCTACAGTATGACCCGATTCCCCAGCACGCCGTCCACCAGGTCCTCCTGTCTCTACTCCGAGAATATTATGAAGTTTCCGGGTTCCTGGTGGTTTGTATTCCTGTTAAAGAGAAAACAAAAATTGTCTCCAAAGTCGGTGGGAGATGTGACACCTACACGATTCACTCCAATGTCTGAGGCGCTCATGGGTACAAGGCTTTGTGAGGAAGGACAATCACTGAGACAGTCAGCCACCCCCTACTTCTGCATACAACACTTAGACACATGGCTACGGAAATCCAATACAGTTTTGAGAACAGAAAAACGACTACGAAGGTCAGTGTAGCTCCGTGACCAGCAGATGATGGCTGGCCTAGGCTGGGCGTGCACAACTTCGAAGACCCAGGGCAAGTAGACGATGGCCGGCCTAGAGTCGGGTTTGTACTACTTCACCCAGGAACATGATACTTGTTTTTCAAGTTTGTAAGAAGCAAACAAGGGAGTAAACACACAGAATGACACAGAAAAGCCACAAATACAATCACTGCGAAGTTTTTTGCAGAGAAATATGGACTCTGACCTGTTCTACTCTGTACCTAGGTTTGTTCTGAGACAGGGCCTAGGAATGTAGTCTTGCCTGGCCTACAACTCACCACATAGACCAGGCTGACTTCAAACTCACAGAAATCACAGAAAGGCTTGCCTCTGCCTCCCAAGTAATGGAACTGAGATTAATGGTGTCCAGCACGAAGCCAGGCTGGCTGTGTACCTGAGAACACACTGCACTGCATCCCTGATGGTGGCTCAGAGTACAGAAGCACTGGCTATGCCAACCTGCTCAGACACAGTGAAAGCACCAGTCTTCTCTTACAGCATGGCTCAGGAGCTGGTTAACAACACAGTGGGTTTTCCTGACAGTTATTTGGCAAAGCGCAGCAGTGTCAGCCTCCAGCTCTCTACAAACGTCAAGGTCACAACAACGTCACTGGACTTGGAGTGATAGTGTGGGATTCTTCAGATGGTTGTTCAAAGTCAAGCATCAGGACAAATCACAAATGCGCGTGCTTGGCAAGTGCTCTCCCACTGACCACAACCCAGACCCTAGCAGCCCTGGAGTGGAAAGAGGACAGCACGCTGGACAATGAGCAAGGACAATTCAGCCACACGTGGGCAGACAGAGAAGGTGGAAGAGGTCGGGCTGCTGGTGAATGGCAGCGTGGACAGAGCTCTAGAGACTCCTGCAGCCATGAACAAACAATGCTGGAAGGAGCCTCCTCTCATGGTACATAAAAATGAGTCAAAAACCCAACACCTAGATTCAGCTAATGCCAAGCCCTATCCTACTATGTACAAGATATGTCTGCTTCTCAAAGGAAACGGCACTTAATCTCAACTTTCCTCAAATACAGAAAGATTTAAAAAATTATAGAAACAAACAGTGGAGTCCATAATTTAGTGGGGAAATGGGTTACCAATAAATCTATACTGATAAATGGCTCAGGCAGTAAAATTGGCAGGCAGGCAGGCAGTGAATATAAGTTATACAGTTGAAAATGTAGACAACCATGTATATAGATGGGATTTCAGAAGAGGAAAAGTATTCATTAAAAAATGAAGACAAATACAAATTTTAAACTGAAACATTATCAAAAGTAAAGAACTTGCTTTAACATCTGGGTGTTGTATGCTCATGGGCAGAGGCCAACAGACAACCTCAAGTGTCATTTTCTGTTCTTCCTCTAAGCAGCATCTGTCGTTGGTCTGGAACTCACCATGCAGATCAGACTGGCTGGCTGGGAAGCCCCTGGGACATCCCTATCTCTGCCTTCCAGCACTGAGACAAAAATGCATACCATCATGTCTGGCCTTTTTGCTTTAGGTGGATTCTGGGGCTCGAACTCTGGTCTTTGTGCTTACAAGGGAAACATGTCACTGACACCTATTTCTTTAGCCTCCATTGATGTGGGAAGGTCTTTGTATATCTGTTGCTTTCATTGGTTAATTAACAAAGAAACTGCTTGGCCTGATAGGTCAGAACATAGGTGGGTGGAGTAAACAGAACAGAATGCTGGGAAGAAGGAAAGTTAGGTAGACGCCATGCTTCTCCACTCCAGGGCAGATGCCATGGAGCCAGCCATCAGTCAGGTCAGACATGCTGAATCTTTCCTAGTAAGCCACCACCTCCTGATGCTACACAGATTATTAGAAATGGGTTAATCAAGATATGAGAGTTAGCCAAGAAGAGGCTAGAGATAATGGGCCAGGCAGTGTTTAAAAGAATACAGTTTGTGTGTTGTTGTTTGGGGTGAAAAGCTAACCATGTGGGAGCCGGGTGGGACAAAAAGCAGGCCTGTCCGCAGCTCCTTCTACAAATGGCACCCAACGTAAGTTTTAACAACAGATTAGGATTCAGAGTACTGAGGAGCCATGGTTAAGAAAATTAATGGTAACCAAAAACACGAGCAAAGATATTATCAAAATTCAAAACACAAAAGCAAGGTATATACTACTGCATTCCCATACTGCAGACGGTCCAAGCAGGCCTGTTATCCACTGCAAGACCCTGTGCTAAACCAAGAAACCCACCCATCACACCAGAAAAAGCAATCTCAGGGTAACACTAAACTGACAACCATGTGTGTAATTGGAGAAGACAGTAAGACGAAGCAAAGCAAATGTCTGATGATATCTAAGTACCACAAGCCCAAGAATCTCAATACACTCTAAGGAGAATAATTTAAAAAATTATGTAAGTACATAATAATCAGGTACAAAGATCAAGTGTTTTAATCACCCCGAAGGAAAGGAAACCATATCACAAATGCACAGCACTAAGAACAAACACTGACTTTCTTCACAGACCGTGCAATCGAGAAGAGGCAGACCATATTCCTGAGGTGGGACATGCTAATCTAGAGCTCGGCAGACAGTGAGCTACCACAACCTGAAGAACTGCATCCTCTCAGACAATGACCTGAAGGAGTCTTCCTTCCTCCCTATGTTGCTTTCCACCAGGTATTTATTAGTGGCTAGAAATGCAACTAACGCTATTGACAGAAACACACAATCACCCTACAGACCACTAAAACAAAGTATAATTTTTATCAAATACACAAGAAAGAATCACCAAGACAGATTACATACTAGGTTATAAAACCAGACTATAAATTTTAAATGAATGAAATCACATTTTAAACCACAGTGCTACTGAGCTAGAGATGAGTTAACATGTCTAGAAAATTCTCAAATAATTTGAAATGGCTAACAAGATCACTGTTGAGTTAGAGAAGTCACAAGCTACGTCAGGACACATTGGAACATTCTGACGAGATCAGGAAGTTGAACTCAATGTGGCACCAGAGAATGCCAGGGCCAAGTGTGCTTCACTACAGGTTAGGGTAAATGTTGCCAAGTCAATTAACAAATTCAGTCGGGGGGGGGGGGGGGGGGGAGATCACATGATCATCTCTGTAGATGCAGAAATGGCCTGTGATAAGGTTTAAAATGGAGTATCAGTGTAATTTCTAGCAGGACCTGACATTCGAATACAAGCTTGTTTTCAGAATTGACATAAAAGAAAAAACCTAGAATGTGGACTGATTCCCGGGAGGCTTGCACTGCCTGCAGTCAGGAATCACTAAGGAGACAGTGATCCACACTGCGCAGCTAGTATAGGTACAGGGCACTGGAGAACAGCCCAAATGTGCAAACATAAAAGGTGAATTAGCTTTGTTAAAAATAAGGCCAAATTAGCTCAATAGGAAAAGGCAATTGTCAGCAAATGATGCTCAGCACTGCCCCCCTTCACATTATTCCATGCTCAAAAATGAATTCAAGATGAACCACAGCAAAATTAAGGGAAAATCCAAAGGAATTTCAGGAGAAAACACCTATAAAGCAAATTTTTACTAACTCGGGAATTAGAAAATAAAGCTCTACAGATCTGAACAACAGCACTAACTATTACAGGTGTTTCCTAACACAAGTCTCACTGGCATCCAAAAAGAGCATGTTTAGAAAGGAGTAAGCCAGCACTGCATGGGAAAGAGGCTGACAGACAACGAAAGCCTCACTCCCAGAGTGAGTAAGGCCCCTTCTGAAGAGTAAGAAAAAACTGAAAGAAGCTCTATGGAATATTGCCTGATGATGATAAACACACATAGGCCCTACACTCTGGCAACTCTAGTCTGAGACAATGCCACCATTAAAAAAAAAGATGTGTGGTGTTCTCACTAGCCTTAATCAATTAGTCCTTAATTATGTATGAACAGAAACTTTACTGACAGATAATAAATTACAGTATTGTCAGTGAAATACCATGAAGCAATAAAATGAATTAAGACCTGAGATGAACAATATAAAATTCCCCCAAAATATTATTTTACTAAGTAAGTGTGATTCTTAATCTTCATTGTCAACTAGACAGAGCTTAGCAATCACCATGGAAATAAATCTCTAGATGCGGCTGTCAAAGTTTTCTACATTGTTTTTGTTGAGAAGAAGAAACTTATCCAAGTGTGAGGAGCACCAATCCACAAAACCAGGGTCCCAGAAGGAATAGAAGGAGACGAGAGCTGGGCAGCAGCATCCACCCCTCTGCTTCCTGACTGCAAGTACAGGTGAGACCCAGCTCCTGTTCCTTCTGCCATGCTCTCCCTGCTACAGTGAATGGCACCCACAAACTGCAAACGAAACCTCCCTTTCTTCTGTAAGTCACTTTTGTCAGAGCAGCAAGGTTAACATGTTAGGTGGCCATAGCACAGACTGTCATTTTTATGATTTATACCTATTGATTAATCCCACCTGCAGCAGAAATCAGAAGAACAGGACAGAGTCAGAACACAAGGTGGGACTTTGTGATACTACTCTATATTCTATGTCAGATAGTGAATGCAAACTGAATACTTACAATATGCACATATTATTACAAATAAATTATGCTTCAATAAAATAGCAAGATTTGTGCATCTGTGTCCACTACAAAAGAGAACTACAGTTAAATGTGCATTTTTGGTGATATGAATGAGAATGTTTCCCATAGGCTCATGGGTCTGCCAACTGGTGGAGATGTCTGTGAAGATTTTGGATATGTGGCCTCGCTAGACAAAGTATGCTACTGGGGTAGGGTAGGAGTTCAAGCTTAAAGCCACATACCATTCCTGTTTGCTCTCTGCTTCCTGACTGTGCTGAAGAAGTGACCTCTCGGCTCAGAGCTTCCAGCTCCAGCCATCATGTCTGCCACCTGTTGCCATGTTGTCCTAGCCATTCTGCACAAGAACCCTCTGGAACTTTAAGCCCAAAAGAACAGTTCCTTCTCTAAGCTGCCTTGGTCATGGTGTTTTATCATAGCAATAAAAAAGTAACTAGTAGAGATTCCATTTAAACCTTGGAATATGGGCTTCTGAAATATGAAAGTTGAAAAATTACGCAGTCAATGACAGTGTCTGAATTTTTGCTATATCCTCCCCCACAGATGACCAGCTGATTGCAGATGCTGTTGCTTTGCTAAAAGAGAAATAAATCAATCACTAAGTTTGACTGGGAAATCTCATTGAATTTACAGTTAATTAATGGGTATTAAAGTGTATGCTAAGATTTGATTCACAAAGAAATAAGATATACTAATTTATGAAATGCCTCTAATAACCAATACACAATAATAATCATAGCTCAATTTGGGAGAAATGATAGCTGATGAACCAGCTCCTTAATTTAAAATGACAGAGACTGGAAAAACTGAATGGGAAGAATGTTTTATTTAAAATGAAAAGATGGCAGCAGACTGGATTGCAGAACAAACATGGCAGCAGATCTACCTGGAGCACTAGTCAGACTGAGGACGTTCTACTCTGGTTCTGTCACAGGAAGATGGGCTGGGAATGATAAACTATGGACATACATGGAAGAGACTCAGGGTGCCTGTATTTAGAGACGGCTTTTACAACATGTACAGGAATGAAGTCGCAGGTATAATTTAGGAACTGGAGGCTGATGGCCTACAATTAGAGAGCAAGGCAGAACGTAAAAAGCTGCAAACCAGTTATGACAGGAATAAAAACTATATATAAATCTCCAGTACTGTGAACATCATTCGGAGCTAGGGCTAGTTCAGTTGGGAGTGCTTGCCTAGCACCTCAGCTACACAGCAAGTTCAAAGTCAGCCTAGACTACACAAGACTTGTCTCAAACAAAAACAAAAAAAACAAACAAAAAAAAATATAATAGGGCCAAAGAGCTCAAAGAGCTTGGGTTAAGAGCTCTTGCTGTTCTTCCAAGGACCAGAGTTTGGCTCCCAGCACCTACACTGGGAAGCTAATTATTCCAAAACCCAACGAGATCCGATGTCACCATAAGGCCTCTGTAAACATACATATATATATATGCAGAAAAACACATATGAATAAAAAAACTTTAGGAAAAAAAGCAACAACAAAAATCACTAGACATTAAAAGGCTTTACGACCAAGTAAATGTGAATTAAAACACCCTCGGTTCCCTAAAGATGACATCTGGTGGCAGCATCACTAAAATACAGGATAAAAGAACTAAAGAAAAAAGTTCTTAAATATTAAAAACCCAGAATTACAACCAAAAGGTAACATATAACAACTTTAATTATGTATCTGCACATTCTTTTCATTTGATAAAGCCCAAACTAGACTAGATATAAAATCGAGATGGAAATTTGGTATCATTTACTTTAAAAATTAATATAGTTGGGCCTCTGAAACAGGCATCAGATCTACCGTTGTTTAGAAGACGCAAACACAGTGCTATCTCAAGCACTGAGCTGGGAACCTGAACTCCACTGTAGGTTCATATCCCCGAGAAAACAGCACAAACTGCCTAAAAATCATTTTTTTTCAGCAGGGCAGTGGTGGTGCACCTTTAATCCCAGCACTTGGGAGGCAGAGACAGGTGAATCTCTGTGAGTTTGAGGTCAGCCTGATCTACAAAGTGAGTTCCAGGACAGGCTCCAAAGCTATAGAGATACTCTGCCTCAAAACAAAAACAAAAAATCATCTTTTCCACTTAAAAAAATAACTGACTGTACTTCTGACTTGCTGTGTGCAAGCTGTGAACATCCTGATGCATTATGGACAGAAGGACTCCAGCTTCACCAGCTGTCTCCAAATACAGCAGACAGGAGCACGCTCCCATCACAGCCCAAACAATCCTGACCATCAAGCACACAGCTCAGATCAACAACACTCAACTGATCAAAATACCATCTTTTAATTATTAGTTATAATATTGTTGTCAAGTAAATTCAAGGAGCTAAGATATGGCTCCCTGATGAGGAAAAAAGACAGAAAAAAAAGGAGGTGGGGAGAGAAAGGAAGCCCCCTCCAAGAACAAGTGTACCCCTATTTTTACCCGTTTTCCATCTTTGGTCTTCTTTAAGTTCCAAGTGCCATCGGGCAACTTCTCAAAGAACTTTCTTGCTTTTGGTGCTTGGTCAAGAATATGAGCAGGTGGGATGCCCAAAACTTCCACTATTTTATTCATCTGATCTACCTGTATTAAAAAACAAAAACAAAACATGTAATTTCAACTGTATATTCATTCACTTCTGCTTGTCACTTCCTCCCTAGGTCAGCTGCACATGACCCTGTGCAAGGCCCTCTTCTGGACACTGAGTACGCAGTCAAACCACTAGATGTGATCCATTTTTGCCCTCATGGGCTACACACTGAGCAGAAGGGAAAGCAGATAATCAACAACTAAAAACACAAATCTACAGTGAGCCTTGGGACTCAGATGCAATGGAAACACTAAGACAGGGTGGGGGAAGTTTTAAGTGTCTATAAAGCCAAAAACAAAATTGTACTAACATATAGCCATTAATTAAATAACCGTTTAAATGAAAACTATGCACGAATACAACTATGTATCTATCATGAGGCTAAAAATCATGCGTAGTGACAGAACACAGAAAAGCAAATAGAAAAAAATCCTGTTTGGGAAGAGGCCAACTAGAAATGTAGTCAAGTCATAAGAAACTGATTCTGGACAGAAACAACTCAGCCCCCACCCTATGGATGCCCAAATCCATGGGTACTCAGATCTGTTGTACAAAAGGAATATATGCATGTAATTTATGTGCATCCTCCTATACGTCAGATCTTGTCTAGATTGCTCATAATTACAAATACTAGAAAAAGTCATTACACCGCACTGTTGAGGGAATCCTTACACAAAGAAAGGGTCAGCACTTGTTCCCTACAGGTGACATTCCTGCTATGCTAGACTTGGTTTACCAGTAACAGCTATACTGTGATTCAATTAACCTAAAGACCGTATTTCAAAGTTAAGACATAAATAATCTCAGGTATAACAAAACTCAAATTCAGACATTTGTACTCTCTCATCTCACAGACAATTTCTAGCAATGAAAAGACATGCCTGGAATAGTTTTTGACCAACCACTTCTCTACCCATACAGATGTAATCTTTTTTCACAAATATTGCTGATAGAATTAAAAGATGCAGACCCAGGAGGGAGAAGAGAGATCACAACCTGAGTCTGAGCACAGAGAACAAGAAAGAAGGTGGGGAAAGGGTCAGAGCAGCTGAGTAGGCATCAGGGGGCTCCACTGGGAAGCTGACTTAAGAACACAGTCTGCAGTGCCATCTGGGAACCAGTGCATTAAGACAGGAAGAACAAGTGTAAAGGGCCAGGCAGGGCTGGTGGTTGGTGTTTTCAGTGGACCACAGAAAGACTGTGGGCTGAGTCAGGGGAGCAGGGTGAAAGGGCAGATGGGTCACTGAAGAGAGTCGGCACAGAGGGACAGGAGTATATCAAACACAAAGGATTTTGGTTTTGACAATGAGAAAAATGGGAGGCCACTAAACTCCCAACTGATTCTAATACTGTTTAATCCCAAGAAAGTTAGAAATTATAGGTTAAATTATTTATTTATTATATATACAGTGTTCTGTCTGTCTGTATGCTTGCTGGCCAGAAGAGGGCACCATATCTTATTACAGATGGTTGTGAGCCACCAAGTGGTTGCTGGGAATTGAACTCCGGACCTCTGGAAGTGCAGTCAGTGCTCTTAACCTCTGAGCCATCTCTGCAGCCCCAGATTAAATTATTTAAATTCAAATAAAAACAAGTATTATCCAAGTTGCTTCCAACTGCTTCATGAGCTGAAGTTAAAACTAAATGTAGAAGCTTTTAGGTAACATGACAAGATCTCAACACAACAACAAAAAAACACCAACAAAAGTTAAGTCATTTGGACTTTCTTTTTTTAATCTATAAATGAAAATTTAGATTACGATCCTAAATGATCAACTTTCTACCAAAAAAAACCCCACAAATTCTACAAAAAGTAATTTTAAGAAAACAAAAGCTCAGCTGCTCTGCAGGGAGCTCACTATTCCTCACCTCCAGAATCTCTTAGGAACAGAAAGCCTGCAGACTTGCAGTCTCTGTGGCCCTAAAATCCTAGACTTACTAGTTTATATGAAAAGATTCAGACTGCATCTACCGACTGAGCTGTGCACTGCCCTGCCAGCACCACGTCCCAGCATCTACCGACTGAGTTGTGCACTGCCCTCCCAGCACCACGTCCCAGCATCTACTGACTGAGCTGTGCACTGCCCTCCCAGCACCGCGTCCCAGCATCTACTGACTGAGCTGTGCACTGCCCTCCCAGCACCGCGTCCCAGAATCTACTGACTGAGCTGTGCACTGCCCTCCCAGTACCACGTCCCGGCATCTACCGACTGAGCTGTGCACTGCCCTCCCAGCACCGCGTCCCAGCATCTACTGACTGAGCTGTGCACTGCCCTCCCAGCACCGCGTCCCAGAATCTACTGACTGAGCTGTGCACTGCCCTCCCAGCACCGCGTCCCAGAATCTACTGACTGAGCTGTGCACTGCCCTCCCAGTACCATGTCCCGGCATCTACTGACTGAGCTGTGCACTGCCCTCCCAGTACCACGTCCCGGCATCTACCGACTGAGCTGTGCACTGCTCTCCCAGTGCTGTGCCCCACTCTCAGGGTCTTAACCAGCATTCACACTATCATTCAGGGTGCCCTCATCTTCACCACACACTGAGGCTTTCTGTTACTGTACTTAAACCTGCAAAGTGTCTACGAAACACTATGTCTAATATAATTTACTATCTCCTTCATTAACGTATTAACTATCTTAAAAACCAGTTCAGAATTCTAAACCTACCATTATATAACTGACAAAGAGGAGAAATTCTAAGAGTGTAAAATAAGACAAGCTGACCTCAAACCCAAGTGATCAAGCTGTTAAGCAGATACTGTCCTATGAAGACAACTTTCAGAGAGCATTGTCTCTATGGAAACAGAGCTGCACATCAATTCTTCACATACCTCATTGGCACCACTGAACAGAGGCTCTCCAGTATGCATTTCAACCAAGATACATCCAAGGGACCACATGTCAATAGCAAGATCATAAGGCATTCCCAGTAGCACCTCTGGAGACCGATAAAAGCGACTCTGAATATACTGGTATATCTGAAACAAATTTCAAAATAGTATTAATCCTATATGTTGTGTTTATTTGTATTCAACATCAGATTAAAAATACTCACAGCCGGACGGCAGTGGCACATGCCTTTAATCCCAGCACTTGGGAGGCAGAGGCAGGTGGATCTCTGTGAGTTCGAGGACAACCTGGTCTACAAGAGCTAGTTCCAGGACAGGCTCCAAAGCTACAGAAAAACTATCTTGAAAAACCAAAATCCAAAAACAAACAAAAAACCCAACAACAAAACCCTACTACTCACGGCAACAGGAAAGCTCAACATTACACTATGAATATAATTAAATAACATTTCAAAGGAATAACCAAATAGAAACTTGGTTAAGAACTCAGACCCTTTCATGTAATGTGGTCCTACTTCAGTAGTTAAGAGAAACAGTAACGAAGTTAATTATTCCTGCTCTGGGGCGTGGCTCAGTGGTAGAGAGCAGTTGCATAGCATGGGTATGGGTTTGGATTTGATCCCCAGCAAATACTCTAGTCCCAAACGTCTTAGACGTGCGGTATTCACACTGTGAAATGCTTGTCAGCATTCCATCCAGGTCACCAGGTTTTCTACCCCAGTCACCGAGCACCCTGGCCCAGGGGCACCCTTGCCCTCGGGCCACCTTCTGATTGTGAGCAGCACAGCACATCCATGGAAGGCATTTCCCAAGTAACCACAGCACAATTTAACCCTTAAACATTTAGTGGCCTAAAGGGGTAAGGTACCTCAGTTTGTGCAGACAGAGGGGGGAAATCTACTGTAATTACTCTCACAGTGGGCATGTATTTCCACTCACAGTGTGTTTTACTCCTACAACCAGGAACAACGCTAGGCTTTTCAACAGCATTCGAGGCTGTACATTTTGGTTCTTAATCCAATTTAAAAAATTATTTCCACAACTACATAGCTTTGCTATTATAAAATGATGTGTAGAAATGATAAAAGATAAGCTGCTAACCAAACTGACTCTATGCCTTCCCTATAAATAACCTGCTCCACTTAAAACCTAGATACAATTGGACAAGATAGGAATTTCACAAGCTTGGAAAGAAAAGAATGGGGATGCCAATATAAAAATAGTAATATCTGGTTGTTAGATTAAAATAATAGTTTCAATACCTTTATGCAAATAACCATGATCTCTTTTGAGAAGAAGCCCTGCAACTTCTGTTTGCATATAAAAAACACCATTGGCACAGACGTCACATGGCCAGCAACCACAGCAGGAAACCTGCTTTCCTGACCTAGCTAAGTTAACTTCTGTTTTGCTTTTCAATACAGGGCTTTTCTGTGTTGCCCTAGCTGTCCTGGCTTTCTGTCTCTGTCTCTCTACGTATTATTTATCTTGATTATATAAGAGAAATAATTTTACTCAAGAACCTAGATCAAGTTAGAATTACCCAAATTTTATACTAAAAACACTATTTAGAAACTATAAATCACCTAATATTTCTTTTATCTCTTACTCTTTCTTAAAAATTTTTAGCATAAAACACAATTTTTAATATTAACTTAAAAAATCAGTATTTTTCAAGTACTGCAATCTGGATTGTAAAGAGACATCAGCAGATGTGCTACATGTTCAAGATAAGAACCCATCCTCTAATTGCCTCCAAACTATAAATACATTGCTTAAAAAAATCCTTTAAATAGCTATTTGTACTCTTGTACCTAATTCTAGTGTTAACTCACAAGTCCTAAAGTGATACTTACCCTCTGCCCCAACTGACAGGAACTGCCAAAATCAACAATTTTGATTGCACTCCGTTTGGGGTTACACAGGAGGATGTTCTCAGGCTTTAGGTCACAGTGAATGATACTAAGTTCTGGAGTCGCAAGGAAAAGCAGTGCTGTGCACATCTGCTGTGCAAACTTTCGTGTTAGGTTCAAAGAGACCCCTCGGAAATTGGTGTTCCTCAACAAATCATAGAGATTATAGGACAGCATTTCAAAAACTAAACAAAGATGGTTTCGAAACATAAAGTGGCGTTTCAAATGCACTGAAAGAGAAAAGAAATTTCACATAAGTATACATAATGGTGAGGTAAGAGTTAACATCTATTTGTGTTCTCCAACACTTTGCCATCCAGTGCAGAATGGGAGGCAAGGTAAACTGGAGATCAGGCCCCAGCACTAAGAACTTGTTCTTCTGATTGTTAAGAGTTTCTACCACTCTTCTAAGTTAGAGAAGCAAGTTCTACTGGTTTGTGACAGTGTCCGTTTCAAACGACAGCCCTCTCCACTGGCTTTGGTCAATGGATAAATGTGTGTTTAATAGCCATTTTCACGAGTAACTGGCAAGCAGTTTTCTGGAAACTGCCTAAGAACAGCAGTCTGTTTTTTGTGTTTTAGGTAAAAAAACAGAAGCAATGTCTGGAAATTGTGCCGAGTAAGATCTTGGGAATTCAAGATCGATGGATTGATTATGTTCAGTAAGCTGAGAAAAGTCTTGTGTAAGACTCAGGACTTTAGGCAGCTATGAAGCACAGGTCGACCACAGAAAGAAATGGCCAGCAGCCTACGACTGGGGACAGTCCAGACAACGGCAGTGAGTGCTGTCGGCCTCTACAGGGTCCCTAGTAAAAACCTGTGTTTCAGTGTCACCAGTGAGCACAGCATTTGAAGGAGGCAGCCTCAGCACAAGCAGCCCCAGGACAGAAAGCATCTGTAAGTCAGCTGCTGCCATCTTAGCCAACAATGGTTAAGATAACTCCTTAGTATCACAAAAACAGCTGTCTCTACAAATATTGCCAGAAAAATATGACAGGAGTCAAACACCCATTGTGGGAGAAAACACACAATGTATACTAAGCCTTCTTGGCACAGTCCTGGACTGACTGCCTTGAGAAGTAGACATCTATAACTATTTTTAGGTCACTCATGATATAAGTGATCTAGAGTAGGGATAACCCACACAAGACGTATTCTATGTGGTACAAATAGGAGTCTACAGCACTCCTTGACACTGTAAAGTAATAAAAATAGACCTTTACAAAGTTTCCTATCTGTTCTTAGTCACTTCACAATTTCTATGTTTAAAACTAAAAGCAGCTCCTTGACACCTCACAGACATGGCCCTGTGGGGATTTTAATCTCCTGATTAAGCAGTAGTCACAAAAGGAATACAAAAGATTGCTTAAGTCAAAATTCCAATGTGAGTGTGAAAGTCTGTTCAAGAAGCTGTGCAACCAGAATGTTCTGCCAATAAAAGATCTACCTACTTCTAGTTAACCACTCAGTCACTGGGAATCTATGAGACATTAGCAGGAAAACTCAAACACAGATATGTCTGTCTGTTCATCTTTCTGATGGGATTCTGAAAGAATGGAGAGTACGTAAGATTTTCTCCAATATATGAAATGAAAATACTTTTTAACAGACCACTGTTACTAAATATTACAGAAAAAATATTCTATGAAGAGGAGTAAAAGGGAAGGATAGGGAAAGATTCACGGATTTCAATTTAGTAAAAAAGAACAAAACTTTGATGCTTTGTGGCACACGGTGACCATAAAAAAGAAGAATGCACAGAAAGCCTCAAACACAGGAAATAATTTCAAATACTTTCAATAATGAATGCTTATCCTGGCTTGAACATTGTGTAGACAAATATACATTAAAATACACACAGTAGAGAAAAGGGTGTACAACTACTTGTGCCAATTAAAATAAGTTATACTATATGGCAAGTGTAGTTTTAAAATTCAAACATGAGGTCATCAGAATAAATTATATCCATTAACTGTCTTTGAATTCAATGGTACCATCAAAAAGAAACCTTAAGCCTTTAATTGAAGGTACAGGTCAAGCAACACCGTGGCGTCTAAACAGCCCTGTTGCTGCTGTTATCCAGAACTAAATCCTCAGTTCTGTTCTGAGTCACTAGGAGTTTTCCTTACTCTTAAACAGGGACCTCAACACCCAAAACACATGGCACAAGAATCAAAAAGAGAACTAAGCGTGTCCTGAGAGCTCTGTAATTCAGGCACCCCTTGATGTCCTCTGGACAGAACCAGGCTACTGGTCACTAAACAGACCTCATGTGAACAGCATTTCAGTAGTGTGAAGAGAAAAGGTTCTAAGACACACCCGGTAATATCAATGACTGCCCAACAATTTCCAGAGAAGAAACTAAGGTGAGTGGCACAGTCCTTTCTCTATAACAGGGTAAGGGACCTCTCAGACGGGATGGTCTGAACCATCTGAAGCTCACAATATGGTAACTGTGGTAGGACTAAGCCACAATGCGCTCCCACGTCTTGTCTGAGTGATGCCCGTCTGAAACCAGCTCTGTCTGTGACACTGTGTCTTCAGTGAAGTGCTGCCTATAATGTGAATGCTGCTGCTTCTCCTGTGCGCACATCTGCAGCCAAACAACCAGGAGTGTCCAGTAACTTACACAGCAGCTAAACGCTAAAATGGCCAAGAATCTGAGCTAAATTGGGCCCTTCAACATTTGCCATAGAAACAATGTGTGGTGTAGGTATATTGTTTTACTTGGAAATAGTCCTAACAGTACAGTGAGGCTAAACTTCTGGGGGAATGAAGTCATTAGTCTAGGTATCAACAGTCTCTTATAAAGGGAGATGCTGGGATTATTTTATGCGATCCAATAGTTCAGAACAGCAGTGGGATGGGCAGCTGCATGGGACACCATTCCAACTGTGATTTCAGCTCACAGCTCCAACATTGTTACCATCGCTGAGAAAGAAATACCCTTGTCATGGAGAACTACTTTGGTGCCTCTGTATTCTGGGAGCAGCACTCTGTCTCCAACTTTGACACTTTTTTTTTAATCTCTTCATTCTTTCCTTTCCTATCTGAGCCCACAGCTAACTCTGCTGCTCACACACAATCCTTTCCTTGAGACTGTCTAGAAGCTAACCCACCATAGGTTACAGTTCCAGAGGCACTCCCATCCACCGATTCTCTGTCAGAGTGGAAGAAACACTAATTTCTATTTATGTGGATGTATGAAAGTCTGTGGTCACACGTGTGGCTAAAGAAGAGATCAATCTCCCAGAGCTGTGAACTTGGTGGCACGTTTTTCTTGCGAGTGAACAAAATGATGGTGCTTTATCAGCACTGATATTTTTAAAACAATATGAAAGTGGTAGGCTGTAGAAATGGCTCAGTGGGTAGGGGTGGGTACACTCCAGGAGACCCCAGAGACCAAGCACCCACATCAGACAGCTTCAAAACTAACTCTAGCTCAAGGGATCAGATGCCTCTGGCTTCTGCAGATACCTGCATACATGCATGTATGTACACACATACATCTTTTCAAAGGATGAAAGCTGTAATTAGAATGTCTTTGGCTTTACTGCTTCTGTTTCCCTCAGGAAGATGGTGTGACAATGAAACACACTGGTTCTGGGCTTCTGCAGAGACAGGTCAAATCCTGGCCGCAGCACCAACACCTTGCACACTCACTACTGGAAGGAATTTCCATAAGTTAAGGCTGAAGTCATCTTCCTGTGGGGTGGCCAGAGGAGAAGCAGCAGGAGACAGGGTGAGTATGCTGTGGTATGCTCCCTACGCTACAGGGAGCCCACAGCACTCAATGCTGCTTCACGGACCAAGTCCACCTGGTCACACACTCACACACTCATACAGCGCTAGGAGTCACCTGACGATGACTACCTGGACAAAGACACAGTAAGGCAAACACAAGGCACCTGTGAGCTGACTTAGGCAACAAACAACAACCCTGCCAGCTGTCCGCGGCTTCACACTATTAGCCATCCAAAGCTGTGAACACAGCTCCCGCTGTCCACACTGGCTTTAAGATGGAGCAGGGCATCGGGTATGAAAGTAGCCTTTAGGCCGGGCGGTGGTGGCGCACGCCTTTAATCCCAGCACTTGGGAGGCAGAGGCAGACGGATCTCTGTGAGTTCGAGACCAGCCTGGTCTACAGAGCTAGTTCCAGGACAGGCTCCAAAACCACAGAGAAACCCTGTCTCGAAAAACCAAAAAAGAAAGAAAAAGAAAGAAAGTAGCCTTTACCTATGTAGTATTTCATTTCAGTGTCATGTTTGTTCATGAGCTCAAGCAGCCGCACTTCGATCTGGGCTTGATTCAGAAACGCTTTCTTGTTCTTTATGATCTTAATGGCAACCCATTCTTGTTCCACTCGATCATAGGCTTTTACAACCTACAAAAAAAGAAAAGTAATCCTCAGTTTCATTAGTAACAATGTTACATTTGTTTCCGCCATACTGTGTATCTACTTAACTCTTCTTTAATTGTACATTCCTCTGATGTTTCTAATTCTAAGTAACAGAAATCCTCCTTCAGAACCTCTCCTCTTATATATCCCCTGACAGTGTCTAGACAGTGACAGAGCAGACACCTGCAACAAAACTAGAGCTGCTTTCCTCCTTCAGAAACAACCTGACTCCTGGTGAATTCTGATTTAATCTTTATTCTTTCTTACAACAAATGTATACATGTACTGTATATAAGTATGTGCATATGTATCTGAGTATGTGTGTGTGTGTATATATATATAAATAAATAAATTTTTTTTAAATAAGACAACTTACTCAACACTACTATGTTTTTGTTGTTGCTGTTTGCTATTGTTGAGATAGGGTCTTACTGTAAAACCCTGGCTGGCCTAGAGCTCCCTATGTAGACTAAGCTGGTGTCAAACTCACAGATCTCCCTGTCTCTATCTCTCCAGTTCTGGATTTAAGAGCATGTACCACCACTTCCAGTTCAACTATTCTTTTATGTAGAAAAACATCGAAATAATCCCAAGAATACATAAAATGTTCTAATACTTCTCAGAAACCAATTTTCTAGTTCTAAATTAGTTTCTCATATTAGAAGAATTCGTTTAAGACACCAGTAAAGTATGATGACAGGAATGTCATAATGAGATGTCCTGGACCTGATTAATGCATCACACATTTGTAATATGATATACAGTCTGAAAGGCAATGGCTTTGGATATATTTGACTATATTCAAAAGGTCTGGAGTTGGAAGAATCTCAAAAGATGCCAGAGAGAAGACTGACCATCACTGGGTCAGGAAGCCTTGATTCAGGAGGACTTTTGTGACAGATCTGCTTCAAGTCATACAGGAAGCAGAGATACCAGTGTCCACATAGCTGGAGGCCACAGCATGTATGTGCATTTTTCTATTCGATCTATGGCTGCTAAGGTGGACAATATACTTCTGTCCTTAGCACAATTTGACACATGAATATTACTTCACTAGTTAAAAGAATATATTCTGCTTTTTCTCAAGGCTCAGAAAAGTAACATCAATATGTGCTTCTTTTTAAGACATGGTCTTATATACCCCAAGCTGGCTGCAAACACACTGTGTCACAGAACATAAACTTAAACTCCTGATACCTCTGCCCTACCCCCCAAGTTCTAGGATTGTAGACATGTGCCACCACACCCAGTTCTACAATTTGCTTGCTTGTTTTTAATCAACAAAGCAAAAACAATTTCACACAAAGCCATTTTGATCCCCATTTTATTGTACTCAGTAAAAAGTAGGTTTGAATTGCATGGAATTATCTAGCAAGATGAATGGCATGAACAATAAATCACATCTCTAACCAAAAGAGCTCAGTGACTCAGTGAGGCGGGAGAAGGGCCAGGTGGGAGTAGCCAGAGAGATAAGTTCAGTAAGTGGCATATGTTCAATAAGAGGCTGTGACCCCAGCACTTAGGACGCTCAAACAGGAAACAACCTGCTACCTATGCAGACCGTTTCCAAAGACAGAAACAGTGAGGAGGGAGTGAGCAATCCTGGGTGAGTACAATGTGACGAGGACAGGAGAATCCTAGGTGTAGAGAAGGGCAGCAATAAACAAGGCCAGGTCCACTTATTCGTTATCGCAAATAGAGTCCTTAGCGCACTAACTGCTGGAGTATGGGAAGAAAAAGGAATTCTGAAGCCCATATGCCTGCATCCAAGCTTGGTGTGGTTAGACCGGCCAGGATATGCATTAAGCCCCAGCCCAGAGAGAGGAGAGTGCATGCTATGCTGCCGCAGGGCTCTGGGCAGACAGAGGTGCAAACTCTACAAGGAAGACCTGCTAGACTGAGCGCAGGGACAGAAGAGGTTGACTCTGACTATCAACAGTTTAAATTTATCACTTTAGCCACCAGATAAAAGTAAACAGCAGCCAAAGAAACATTTATAAAAAAAAAAAAAAGGAATTTTTAGGGCTGGAGAATTATGATCATCTAAATATTTAAATACATACTTTTCACATCAATTTATTACTAGCAAAAGTGTATTACTAAGAATATACTATCATGATTCAATATAAATTTTAACTAATGAAATTAAGCTTTCTCTATTAAATTACCTGTCCAAATGAACCTTTGCCTATCAAGGAATCAATTTCATAGCGATCCATCCACTTTTCTCCGTTCTTTACGATGTAATCATAGTTATCATCATCGTAACCATCGTTGTAAACCTTGCGCTCCTTCTTGTGACTGGAATCGTCTCCCTGACCTTGTTGGTGTCTTCGTTTCTTTTTTGCATAGTAAACCTGAAATAAATACACACAGGGTTAACTGTGAGTTAGGTCACTGTTGAGGATATGTTTGAAAAGTATGTTCCCAACAAATCAGTATAAAATTGATAAACAACTTTTTTTAATAAAAAATACAAAACAAAGATTTTCTGCAGTTGAAAGCGAGAGAGATGTCCACAGTGAAATCCAGTGTTGTACTGCAGATACCTTTTATAAATAAGAGGTATTAAGAGATTGGTCTAATATATCCCATTAACAGAGAATCAAAATCCCTCAAGTATGCTTTTGTTAATGTATGGCATAGTTTATATACAGTAAGATCACACAGATTTTAGAAATACAATGAACTCCAAACGATAGGAGTAAGTTTTTTTTCCCTCTGACTTTCAATGTCTTTCATGCCTTCTTCTCCAGTTAATGCCAATTTGATATTTAATCTTACAGCAAAAGATTTTTAAAATGAAAGTTTTAAATATCAATGAATTGATGTTTTACTAAAGCCATCCAATTTCAATGTCCAGAATAATCTACTGACCGATGAAAGCCACACGTTCAATCTGTCCACCACCTCCCTGCCAATCCCTTAAGCCTTTGTGGTCAATCACGAACTGAATTATTTTTTTGAACCTGAGTTTCTTACACTTTAGTTCTTAAAGCTACTGGGATGACAACAATAATATCCCAAGAAATTGGTACCTTGATGCACTGTGACAAGACATCTGATAAACGAGCTTCAACAAAGATGCTATTAACAACAGTTTAACTGGGGATTGCTAACAATTCATCACGTTAACAAACTGACATTGATACACTGTGAGAAATAATGTCTCAGATATTTCCGGATAATCACAAGGTATAATAGACAAAATGTGTACAGAATCCACCTCAGGACTGTCCACTGAAGCTCTCTCATTTTCTCTTGACACTCTGCGAAGCACTAAATGCACTGAACTGTTGTCCCATTTCTACAAACCTAAGAACTCTCTTTGGCAAAGTGGCTGCAGAGACAGGAGAAGATAAGCCTTCAGTGGGAAAGGCTTCAGTGGGGAAGCACGGCCTCTTCCTCACGGCTCTAAAATTCTCTTAACAATCAGTTCTAAAACTAGAGTTGAGACCAGAAGCAAATGGCAATCAAAGAGAAAAGGTCCAAACACCAGAAAATAATTTTTCGTTGCAACAAGCCAGGTTACAAGAAAAATAATTCAATGTGCTTTTTAAAAAATCCTGTTTTTCAATGAAAGTTTTTAAATATCTTACCATGGAAAGACAGAGATAAAAGAATACACATAGCTCTGTAATCCCGGCACTCAGCAGGTTGGGGCAGGAGGACTGTTTCGAGTTCAAGACCAGCCTAGGCTACGGAGTGAGATCCTGCCTCATAAATAAGCAAACAAACAAGCAAACAAATAAATTTAGGGGGAATGCAAAAGACATGACAAAAATATAATTAGTTCAAATAAAGCAGGTCCTTTTAATGTTCAATACATCTCATATAAAGTCCTGGCATCAGGACCAAAGCAGAAATAAATACATATAACAAAAATATATACATATATATATATATATATATATATATAAATTTAAGCAAGTCTACTCCATGCTTTTTCTAGTTGTTTGTTCCCCTCTCTTGCTCTGAGAAAAAGCTATAGAAATAATTCAGCATATGAAATATACTTTGGAAAGAGGAAGTCATCAACAGTGTTCTCATCTGCAGTTCTTGTTAATAAATTTTATATAGTTGTAATTATGCTATATATAAATCATTAACTTATTAAAATTTATAATACTCATATTACAATTATTAGAAATAAAACACATTTAGATGTCTAAAGAGGAAACAAAATACTTGTCCCCTGTTCTATTGAAAATATAAATGACACAGTAAATCAATACTCTTACCTCATTAATATGCTTATATGTTTTGATCAAGTCGACAGAAAGTTTTCTCAGAGGAGCAGTTGCTGGATCACGAAAGGTTTGGGGCATCCGCCTCTGTAACATGACAATGTCAGGCATCACCTTAAATAGACAGAAAGACTAGCAGTTTAACTACACTGCAGCTGTTAACACCCTCCACCACAATCTAGTCACTGTAACCTAGGAGAGCCCTTCTTCTACCATAGCCGGTCAGCCTCTCTCAAAAACACTACCAAACTATTAGACTACACACTCTCAAAGTTATTTCTTTTAGTTGGATTCTAAGGAAAACAACTTCTGAAGCAAATATATAAAATTAGAAGATACCACGCCTGACATCTATGATTGGATTACATTCCCCTGAACAGTGAACTCCAGGTAGGTGCAGTCACGATCCTGGAGACATGCGATCCTGCCCACACGCCTACTCTCTTTTTTAAAAAAAAAAAAAACATTATTTATTATGTATATACTATTCTGTCAGTGTGTATGTCTGCAGGCCAGAAGAGGGCACCAGACCTCATTACAGATGGTTGTGAGCCACCATGTGGTTGCTGGGAATTGAATTCAGAACCTTTGGAAGAGTAAGCAATGCTCTTAACCTCTGAGCCATCTCTCCAGCCCCTCCCCGTCCACGCCTTCTCTACTCTACATTAGTCCTGGAGACATGCGATCCTGCCCACAGGCCTTCTCTACTCTACATTAGTCCTGGAGACATGCGATCCTGCCCACACGCCTTCTCTACTCTACATTAGTCCTGGAGACATGCGATCCTGCCCACATGCCTTCTCTACTCTACATTAGTCCTGGAGACATGCGATCCTGCCCACACGCCTTCTCTACTCTACATTAGTCCTGGAGACATGCGATCCTGCCCACACGCCTTCTCTACTCTACATTAGTCCTGGAGACATGCGATCCTGCCCACAGGCCTTCTCTACTCTACATTAGTCCTGGAGACATGCGATCCTGCCCACACGCCTTCTCTACTCTACATTAGTCCTAGGACCATTTCTGTTTCTGAAACTCCATGAGCCCATCACACATTTCCCTTGGCAAGTGACACTTTTCAGTCCTAAGGAGACACCTTCTCCTAAAGACTGACTCGCAGATTCGGAAACTTGTGGACTTTGAAGAAATACTTGACTATGACTTAACATCTTTTATCTGTGTGTAGCCCTAGCTGTCTTAGAACTCACTATGTAGACAAGGCCAAACTCAAACGCAAAGATGTGCTTGCCTCTGCCTCCCATGTGCCGGGATCAGAAGTGTGCCGCCACACCTGCCTCTATTTAGTAGTCTTTTTACATCACAGGGACCTTTAAAAATGTTTTATGTCTTCAATCAGAAATAGTAAGCAAATTATCTTTAAGTGATTTACACACATTAGCTGAATACAAAAATAGATACTCTGGCTATCTAAATTATCAACAAGATATTTATTTTATCTTGTTTATAAACAAGATATTTATATTTATTTTAAAGAATTTTCCCTGGCTCCCTATGAACAGCAGCTATTCTACATCCCAGAGTGTGTATCTAAAGGAAGCAAGTGGAGCTGGACTCGGACGTCCCCTCCACTCACACACACAGAGAAGTCTGAGCACACCGCGTCTTCAGAGCACACTGCAGGTGGACGTCCCCTCCACTCACACACACAGAGAAGTCTGAGCACACGCGTCTTCAGTGCACACTGCAGGTGGACCCATGTGCTCTGGACTTCACTCTTGCTGCTTCCCTCTGGTACATGATCAAGAGCTATCGAAACTTAAACATTCTGATGAACCGCTTCAATTCTCAAGCACAGGCCTAACTTCTGAATCAACTGAATGAAACAGATTCTAAGCCCCACCACTATGCTGTTTCACATACTCTATGCTTTGCTAATATAGAGAGAGGCTACTGGCAACAGACACCTATAACGTAGACACTCAACCAAAGCAAACTACTCACGAAGTCCAAACATTACTCAATTAAAGAAAGCACTTTTCAACTAATCCGGTATAAAAAACACTTGTCATTCCTTACTTGCTATACTAAGAAATCTGAATACAGCAAAGGCCAACTAAAATCCTAAATCCATTAACAGCAATCGAGTTCCTTACTACCACAGTGAGAAAATAAACTACCTCACAACCACAGCCTGTGAGAAGATTCGCCACAAACAGTAATTAACGTAGGGCACAGCTAATTCAAACATTTAAGATATACCTACATATATGCATACAGTATGTTTGGAGATTTCAGCATTCTTTTATAGCCTCAATTTATGAGAAACTGCTGGGCCTGTAGTCTGAATATTTGAACAGTATGCTTAATATGCCACATCCTTTGAGTGTTAAGGATTTTTGCCTATAACTTTATAAATGTATATAAAAGCTGTTTATAACATAAAATCATAGCATAAATGTTATGATTCTCAAGTTTCCTATGCCTTTCTTAAATTAACCATTATCTTTCCATAAATATAAATTTTATTTTTTTTAAAGTTTTAAATCTCTTCCTTAGAAATAATTTCCCTTCTTTTCCAGAATAAGAAGCTGTAGCTGTGTTTCCGAGTATCTTTCAATAAAATGAAAACACATGCTAGGGTGGGAGAACCCACAAACGTAAACACGCTGCTACACATCATGCTTTGTCTACCAAGGCTTCCATTTAGCAGGGAAAACTGAAGGCATTTTGCCATTTTACTGATCTAGCATTTTCAAAGGTATAAGCTATAATTTCAACATCATTTCTGACAATTAATGAAATTACCTGGTTAGTTAGAGGTTGCTGAATCTGGTCAGAATATGATAAGGCAGGAACCTGCTGGTCACTGAAGTTTGGCTGGCGACGGTCACTGTACTGATGTGAGTGGGGCATCTGTCCAGCCATCTGAAGGCCAGCAGCATGGAATGAAAAGGACGGTGCAAGCCGAACAGATGAAGGTTTGCATGCTGAAGTCTCTCCTCCTGGAACAGACAAGGGAATGGTTAAAAGGAGTCCTATCCTAATGTGTGTGGCATCTGATGTAGCTCAGACACGTCAACTAGTACTTTAGGACATCCAAAATTAGTAAAAACCTTTGTAACAATCAACAGGCGTAGTCATTCAACGTTAATAGCTATATGTTAAATATGGTATAAAACACAGATTAAAATTAATATAAATTTCTTTTGAGAAAATCTCTTTTAAACTTTTTATAACAAACAGTAACAACTTAAAAATATTACATTTATTTGTTTACTTTTAAAAAATGTTGTGAGTTTGTGTGCAGGTGTTCACACATGCCATGTCACAGTGCACACATGGGAGGACAGAGGGCAGCCTGCAGTAGTCAGCTCCTCTCCTTGTACCAGCTAAGTCTTAGGGATCAGACTCAGGTCATCAGATTTGGCCAAACGTGCCTTTATCCACTGAGATACCTCACTGGTCCAAAAGTAACAACTTCCAAAACTTATTTTCACATATGAAATTCTTAATACTTAAGAACCCTACAGTGTGGATTCTTGAGAAGAGTCTTGCCAATTAACTAGTTCCCCAGAACAAATCTGAAGGCCAAGTGTTAACAATGAGCACCCCAGCTGGGTGACCAAGAGCTGAGCAAACAGCTACTCAACACCTAACTGAATTAATCTGCAGATGTGAGATCCCCTAGACTTTCCCAACACTGTCCTGACAAAACAAACCTGGCAAGCTCAAGGAGGGAGGAAAGTCAGAGATCACCATGATTATAATAATATCCACAGCAGAAAAGGAGATGAACACTGTAGTCCGTAGAATCACTGATGGCCAGGCTTTAAAAAGAAAAAAAAAAGTTTCCTATCTCCAGCCAAGCTTGTGAGTAGGAAAGGCAGATTTAAAGCCCTGATCAATCAGTCCTGCGTCTCCTCTTCCATGAGTGCCCAGTCTCACCAGACCACACGACCCAGGGAGGGACACAAGAGAAGCAGAAACCAAGCCAGGCTACAAGTATGAAGGCTCAGCTTTACCACACACCTCTAAGAGCCTTGCGTGTAGTTTTGAGGTAACAGTAACTACCTGACCACGGTGCCCTGAAGGGTAAGTGCCCAGAGCAACTCCAGGAACTTGCAAATGGCCAAATAAGATCAGCCATTAGCGCACTGTCAAGCACTCTAACTTTACTGTGACGGCGTAAAGGCCATGGGCGGACAATGGCCAACCGGGTAGACCATAACACCTCTAACTGAACGCTGACGAAGTCTGCAAACTCAAATAAGCTCCAGTCCCAGAACTCAGGTCTGCTTCTCCTTTCCACCACACAAAAGTGCCGCCCTGAACAAACTCTGGAGTCGCAGGAGAGGGGTCCCCTCACAATTCACCTCATTAGCAGCCCCAGTCTGTAGGCTCCTGTCCCACAGAACACTCCTACCAGCACATCTATCTCCCGTGTGATCACAAACCAGTTCCTACTGGCTGCGTCTCTTTACTCAGCCTGTGCGCACCTCTGCACTGTCAGCAATGGATGCCTACAGGGCCCTCTCCAAGACTAGGGCTCAGACTGCCCTCTCATCACCTGTCTCTGGTACTGTTCTTAGAGTAGCCTGTGCATGGTGCATGGTGCAGCTTTAGTGACAACACAGTGCAAACAAGTCAAGTGACAGCAAACCGTGTTAGGTGGAAACAGAGCATTTTATAAACTTTCCATTTTTCAGTCAATTTAATTCAATGGAGAAACTACTCAGTTAAGGAAAAACATCTGAACAAGACAGCAGCCATGCCTATAACAGCAAAAATTCAGAATTCTATTTGTCAAATGGTATGGAGGAGGGCTTTAATCTACATGCGAAAAGGAAAGTGTAGCAATAGAATATAAGTAAACTAGAGGTCCTTAATAAAGAGAAATGGATAATGGCAATATGATCAAGGTTGTAATGACAAATTACATGACCATTCAGGACCTTAGTTTTGCCAATTCCTAGACCCATTTAAGGTTAAGTCTAAATGAGAAGCCACTGTTCTTGCTATCAATGCTATGGTGTTACTATGCTGCTAGCCTCACACCCCACAGACGATCCTTTCCAGAGGACTGTACTTTCCAACCATCTCTGGCGCTGGTCTAACGGTAGTTATGGTTTGGATATGCTCAACTAGGACAGAGCCTGAATTACTGCCAGTTGATGTCAACACTATCTTAAACAGACCTACAAGACAATGAGCTGCTTTTGTCATTTTTAAAGAGCTGTGCTAGTCCGGCCCTCAGGAGGCAGAGCTCAAGATCAGCCTGGTCACACAGCAAGTTTTCCAGTCAGCCAGTGATTAAAATATCTATAAATAAATGAACGGATAAATAAGTAAATAGGTGGAAAGTTGTTCTCTAGCCAATAGCAGTAGCAGATGATGCAAAAAATAAGTCGCGTCTGACCATACAGACACCAGAGGCTCCCAATATACTTGCCTGCCAGTTACTTCTGCTTTGGGTTTTTTGTTGTTTTGTTGTGTTGGTTGGTTGGCTGGTTGATTTCCAAAGAGCATTTCTCTGTATGACCCTGGCTGACCTTGAACTCAGATCTGCCTGAGTGCTGAGATTGGAGGCAGGCCACAGACATCCGGCTGCTTTGGTTCTTAAAGATGCAAGTGAGTGGGAGGTGGTGTCTGTGTGCACTGGGTGTTTTCCTGTACAGAAGTGTTGCAGTGTTGCATATTAGGTGGTCAAGTACCTGGTACTCTTTTTACAATCTGCCACGGGCCATCAATGAGTGCAGATTTACAATGAACAGAGTCTTTCTCTTCTGGGATTGTCAAGTTTTGTGGTGGTTTGTATACGGGGATACTTGACAGTTGTACTTGATATGCTCAATCTACTTCATATGCAATTCTTTGCATAAATGTCAGAAGTCAGGTCGCTCATTTCCTCCCATGAGGTATCCACTCACTTCTTTCCTACAGACTCCAAGCAGACAAGCCAAAGCAGACGTTTCTCTCAGTCTGATCCTGTATGACACAAACTACCACGTATGTGTTCTTCCCAGTCTCTACCTTCCATTTACACTCAAATGTTAACTTAAAAGTAGACATAGCTCATCTTTTAGCAGAGATGATGTAATCATGAAGAACTAGATTGAAGCATACAAAATTGTCTTTGGGATCTAAAGTAATAATTTTGTATGGTTCACCCAATACCTACCATATTACAAATGATCCTTATGCCATTAAACTAACAAACAACTACAATATTTCAGCCTAAAAGTAAACAACAATATACACTGGCATATCAAATGATATAGTTACCTAATAAATTTGCACCATTTAATTCTCCAATCATTATCTGAACTATGCGAACTGGTTTTACCACAGAAGCATGTTTTAACTTTCAAAAACCCATTAAAATTATGTTGCCAAATTAACAGCTTGAAAACTAAGCGTTTCTCAATGTGTTTTAGGGAGAGCAACAGTGGCTGGGGAGCGTGTCCCTAGTGAGACAACACTGGCTGGGCAGACAAGTCCATCGGCAGACTGCTGGAGCTGGTATGTGATACGCTCAGCACTGCAGACCCAAGAAAAGACCAAACTAAAAAGCCTGAGAAAGACCTGAGGAAATGTAACAAGGAACACTCAACCCTTGCCTCTGCTACAACTAGTCTCAAGGTCACTGGTCTAGAGAACACCACATTCAACCCCCTGGATAGGTGTCACTACTACTACTGTGCAGATACAAGACTAGTGACTGCATTGCTCTGTTTTAGATTAAAGAGAAACAGCCAACCTAAGAACAATACTAAAGAACAAATAAATGAAAATAGTACAAGTTCATCGAAATTAGAGAACTCAACTATAGAAACTCTGAAGCTAAGGTCTGACACAGAAACCCTTAAGAAACACCAGGAGAAATCAGCTTTGCATGGGAATAAACCTACTAGATTCCCTAGCAGTAAGAAACAAGGTGTTAAAGAGAAACAAGTGTTAGAGGAACAGCCAGCTGTGTTTTAAACGGCTACAAACAGTGGGATTGGAGAAAAAGGGCTGCACACCATGAGTGGCTCTGCTGACTATGCCCCTGGGCACAGTCTGCACTCACAGGGAACTCTCACGGGGACTGAATCTGATCATAGGACAGGAGAGTGAAAGGAGTGACTCTGCACTGAAGCTCGGGGTCAGGCCACAGCCTTCAGACACAGGAGTCTCCACTCGCCTTTCACAGCCCAAGAGTGCAGTGTCTCGTAGATAAATCTATGTTAAGATTAAACCACACATCAACTGGGGCTTTGCTGAATCTGATGATAAGGGCTATTTAATAAAAGTGACCTTACATTAAGGGCATATGAACCAATATATGTTGCTACATGATTCATAACCACACACATATCCATACACACATGCAAACATCTTCACCTATTAGACATAATATCCAGTTATGCATAAAAGCAATGAAATTACTTGTATGATATTAAGTAAGAGCCTGTGTTTATTAGTATGCAACAGTAATGAAATCGGTATATCAAGCTGTTAGTAACAATGTGATAGGGTAAAAGCCTATCATCTCAGACTTCCATATTTGACCACTTTAAAGTCCATGCTACTAGACTGCCTCATTCATGGTAAATGACTACAGAACTGGCCAAGACATGAAATAACTGGTTTTCAGCCATGTTGGAGACGTCTGTGGTCACGGAGGGAAAGGAAGCCAGACTCTAGTAGACTCGGCAGTGCTGCCACACCGTGTGGGAAGAGATGGGAATGAGTGTCACCTGACTCTCAATTATAGCTAAGCTACACAGAAGAGCCCATACTGTTAGTTAGGCAACGAAATCTATCAGAACACTGTGAGCTAAATAATCATCAAGGCCTGCACAGACCAGTATGACATTGTATTCCAACCAACTCCAGTGACTAAACCAAGATAAACAACCAGAGATCCAACAGAGGCCAGAAGACCAGACATGTTAGGTTCAAGGTTTGCCTAGTTCTATTCTAAAACAAAGGCTTGACCTTCTTAACACAGACAGAAAAA